AGCTTTTGACCTTATCCAACAGGTACGAGATACTTGCTCCCTGTGTGGATGAGAAAAAGGGCTGCGGGGAGGATGAGCCAGCTCACCACGGCACCATGTGCAGAAGGCCATTCAAGAGGGGGGAGCAAAAAGACAAGTGGTAGTTATAGGGGATTCTATAGTTAGGGGGATAGATAGTATCCTTTGCAAGCCGGATCGAGAGTCCCGTATGGTGTGTTGCCTGCCCGGTGCCAGGGTGCAGGACATCACTGACCGGCTTGAAAGGATATTGGAGCGGGAGGAGGAGGATCCAGTTGTTGTGGTTCACGCTGGGACTAACAACATAGGCGAGGCTAGGATGGAGGACCTGTTTGGGGATTATCAAGCACTAGGAACGAAATTACTGCCCAAGCCACGTGCAAATTGGCTTAGGGATAAGAAAATTAGGGAAGGAAACACGTGGCTAAGGGAGTGGTGTGGGAAAGAGGGGTTCCATTTCATGGGGCATTAGCATCAGTTTTGGAACTGGAGGGATCTGTACCGATGGGATGGTCTCCACCTGAACCGATCTGGAATCAGTGTTCTAGCAAAAAGGATAAATAGGGTGGTCACCAGGACTTTAAACTAGTGAGCTGGGGGGAAGGGAAAGGGAAAACGACAGGGAGTATGATGGTAAATAAAAAGGTAAGCAGCAGGTTAGCATGTGTGCAGGAGGGTTTAAGTTCAAGGCAGACTATGAAAGAAGCAAAAAGGAAGGATAACTCAGGAGATATTATTAGAGATGTTGGAAATCATGAGGGTAAGAAAGCTGGCATAAAGGGACTTTACCTGAATGCTCGTAGCATTCGTAACAAGGTTGATGAGTTAACGGCACAAATCATCGCGAATGAATATGATTTGGTAGCCATTACGGAGACATGGTTACAGGACGGTCACGACTGGGAGTTAAATATCCTAGGGTACCAGACTATTCAGAAGGACAGACAGGAAGGTAAGGGAGTAGTGTAGCGCTGATATTCAAGGACGACATCAGGGCGGTGCTGAGAGATGATATAGGTTCTATGGAGAATGAGGTTGAATCCATTTGGATGGAAATTAGAAATTCTAAGAAGAAAAAGTCACTGATAGGCATAGTCTATAGGCCACCAAATAATAACATCACATTGGGGCGGGCAATAAACAAAGAAATAACTAATGCCTGTAAAAATGGTACGGCAATTATCATGGGGGATTTTAGTCTACATGTAGATTGGTCGAACCAGCTCAGTCAGGGTAGCCTTGAGGAGGAGTTCGTTGAGTGTATCCATGAGTGTTTTCTTGAACAGTATGTAATGAAACCGATGAAGGAGCAAGCTATCCTAGATCTGGTCCTGTGTAATGAGACAGAAATAATTAATGACCTCATAGATAGGGATCCTTTTGGAAGGAGTGATCACAGTATGGTTGAATTTAGAATACAGATAGAGAGTGTGAAGATAAAATCCAATACCAGGGTCCTGTACTTGAACAAGGGGAATTACAATAGAATGAGGGAGGACTTGGCTAAAGTAGACTGGAAGCAAAGATTTTATGGTGGGACAGTTGACGAGCAGTGGAGGACTTTCAAAGCAATTTTTCAAAGTGCTCAGCAAAAGTATATTCCAGTGAAAAGGAAGGACTGTAAGAAAAGGGGTAATCTGCCATGGGTGTCATAAAGAAATAAGGGAGGCGATCAAATTGAAAGAGAATGCATACAAAGTGGCCAAAAACAGCATGAAACTAGAAGATTGGGAAAACTTTAAAGGTCAACAGAAAGCCATAAAAAGAGCTATAAAGAAAAGTAAGATAGAACATGAGAAAAAACTAGCACAGAATATAAAGACAGATAGCAAAAGTTTCTATAAATATATAAAACGAAAGAGAGTGGCTAAAGTCAACGTTGGCCCTTTAGAGGATGGGAAGAGGAATTTAGTTATGGGATATGATGAAATGGCCGAGGCATTGAACAGGTATTTTGTATCGGTCTTCGCAGTGGAGGACACTAATAACATGCCAGTAATTGACAAAGAGACGAAGGTAGTTGAGGACCTGGAAACAATCATTATTACGGAAGAGGTATTGTTGGGCAAGCTAATGGAGCTAAGGATTGATAAGTCTCCTGGCCCTGATGGAATGCATCCCAGGGTACTAAAAGAGATGGCGGGAGAAATAGCAGGTGCACTGGCGGTAATTTTCCAAAATTCGCTGGACTCTGGGGCAGTCCCAGCAGATTGGAAAACAGCAAATGTGACGCCACTGTTTAAAAAGGGAAGTAGACAAAAGAAGGGGAATTATAGACCGGTTAGCTTAACCTCTGTAGTGGGGAAGATGCTTGAGTCTATTATCAAGGAAGAAATAGTAAAGCATCTTGATAGAAATTGTCCCGTTGGGCAGACGCAGCATGGGTTCATGAAGGGCAGGTCATGCCTGACAAATCTTTTGGAATTCTATGAAAACATTACGAGCAAGGTGGACAATGGGGACCCAGTGGATGTGGTGTACCTGGATTTCCAAAAGGCCTTCGACAAGGTGCCACACAAGAGGCTACTGCATAAGATAAGGATGCATGGTGTTAAGGGTAAAGTATTAGCATGGATAGAGGATTGGTTGACTAACAGGAAGCAAAGAGTGGGGATAAATGAGTGCTATTCTAGCTGGCAGTCAGCGACTAGTGGTGTGCCTCAGGGATCGGTGTTGGGACTGCAATTATTTACAATTTATATAGATGATTTGGAGTTGGGGACCATGTGTAGGGTGTCAAAGTTTGCAGATGACACTAAGATGAGTGGCAGAGCAAAGTGTGCAGAGGACTGTGAAACTTTGCAGAGGAACATAGATACATTGAGTGAGTGGGCAAAGGTCTGGCAGATGGAATACAATGTAAATAAATGTGAAGTCATACATTTTGGTAGGTGTAATAGTAAAAAGGATTATTACTTGAATGGTAAAAAGTTGCAGCATGCTGCTATGCAGAGGGACCTGGGTGTCCTTGTGCATGAATCACAGAAGGTAGGTCTGCAGGTACAACAAGTAATTAGGAAGGCAAATGGAATTTTGTCCTTCATTGCTAAAGGGATTGAGATTAAAAGCAGAGAGGTTATGTTGCAGCTGTACAAGGTGCTGGTGAGGCCACACCTGGAGTACTGTGTGCAGTTTTGGTCTCCTTACTTGAGAAAGGATGTACTGGCACTGGAGGGGGTGCAAAGGAGGTTCACTAGGTTGATTCTGGAGTTGAGGGGGCTGGCTTATGAGGAGCGACTGAGTAGACTGGGATTATATTCATTGGAATTCAGAAATTGAGGGGGGATCTTATAGAAACATATAAAATTATGAAGGGAATAGATAAGATAGAAGTAGAGAGGATGTTTCCACTGGCAGGTGAAGCTAGGACAAGAGGGCATAGCCTCAAGATTAGAGGGAGCAGATTTAGGACTGAATTGAGAAGGAACTTCTTCACCCAGAGGGTTGTTAATCTATGGAATTCCTTGCCCAGTGAAGTGTAGTTGACGCTACTTCAGTAAATGTTTTTAAAGATAAGGTAGATTTTTTTTGAACAATAAAGGAATTAAGGGATACGGTGAGAACGCGGGTAAGTGGATCTGAGTCCACGAAAAGATCAGCCATGATCTTATTGAATGGCGGAGCAGGCTCGATGGGCCGGACAGCCTACTCCTGCTCCTAGTTCTTATGTTCGTATTCTACAGGAGCAACCCTGCTCCTTTCAGCCCCATTAAGAAAATACATTCTTGTATTTACCTTAATGGAGTTTGCTCAGTTCCCAACAGAAAAGTTGTGGGGGTTGTTAACTGTGAACCCCAAATCAGGAGAAGGTTACAACACCACTGAGCCCAGGAATAGGGCAACAAGAAGATCAATTTGGCTTTGATTAAAATGTAGAATCGAGAAGAAAACTAAGATTTGCATTAGGAGATAGCAAGAACTGAAGTTACTGGAAGTCAGAGTTGATACAGTGTGGAGCTGGAGCAACACAGCAAGTTAGGCAGCATCAGAGGAGCAGGAAAGTCAATGCTTCAGGTCGTCCTGATGAAGGGTCCCGACCTGAAACGTCGACTTTCCTGTTCCTCTGATGCTGCCTGACCTGCTGTGTTCCTCCAGCTCCACACTGTATCGCCTAAGATTTGCACTGAGGAGTTGCTACTAGCTCCATAAAATAGATTGATTAGAGATAGTGGTGTATGGTAAATCAATCAGCAATCCAGAGGCTTAGATGAATGCTGTGAGGACATGGGTTTAAATGACAGCTGGTGGAAAATAAATTAGTCTCGGTAATGGTGAGAAAAATGATCATCTATTATAGATAAAACCCATCTGGTTCCTACCTACAGTATAGTATGGTCTAAATGTGGCTGATTCCTCACTGCCCTCTGAAGTAGCCAAACATGGCATTTAGGATTAGGCACCAAATGCTGGCCTTTTCAGGATACTCATTTTTCATCAAAGAAAAATAACCATGAACTGGTCAGAAAGTGATCAAAGAACATAGAACAGTACAGCACAGTACAGGCCCTTCGGCCCACGATGTTGTGCTGAACTTTTACCCTAATCCTAAGGTCTATCTACCCTCCACCCCTACCTTATACTATCATCCATATGCCTATCTAATAGCCGCTTAAATGCCGCTAATGAGGCCAAATCCACTACCCTCTCCGGCAATGCATTCCACACCCCGACCACACTCTGAGTAAAGAACCTACCTCTGACGTCTCCCCTATATCTACCTCCACTCACTTTAAAACTATGTCCCCTCGTAATAGCTACCTCCACCCTAGAAAAAAGTCTCTGGCTGTCTACTCTATCTCTACCTCTGATCATTTTGTACACCTCTATCAAATCACCTCTCATCCATAGTTTGAGACACTTAGCAACAAATTTCAGCTTTTATTGCAGATGAACGATTTTATTTGTATTGCAAATACAACATGGAGTCTGGTAATGTGATTTGCAATTTGATGGTAGTACATTGCACAATTGTGTGTACTTACCATTTTGAATAAATTCTTCCATTTTTTCTTTGAAAGGTTGGAGGTCCTGCTCTGATGACTTCTGGCAAACAAGAGCGATTTCTTTCTCACATGCTAAAAGATAGATTGATAATCAAGAAAGTATTAATTTTTGAAACATGATCTTTTGTCAAAGTTACATCATTTAATGTAAGTCTCAAAACCAAATGCTTTCAACAAGAATTCAGAAATGATATAACTTGTGGCAAAATTGAACAAATGACAAAACATATGTAAGGAAGGTTCTTTGTACCAAAATTTTGATCGCATCATCGTTGCATGGATCGCTTAAACATTTATACATTAAAACAATTAGTGCAACACAACTGTACTGAAAAAAATTGAATCCACAGTCTATGATCTTTGTTCTTTGTTTAATAGGGAACCAGGAACTACAAATAGTTGCCAAATGTCTGTCTGGGTAAAATTAATTTATAAATCCATTGTTATTTCTCGACTCCCATAATCTGAATTACTCTTCAGGAAAGCATGAAAGATTTTTTTTATGCTTTCAGGGAATTATGTATTTACAACCTTAGAATTATTTATTCACCTACACCTTTCCATTGGCAACCTTGTGTGGGTGACGGCAGTCTCAGGTGCCAGCTGGAGAGTCAGTGTTGTCAGTAAGGCCAGCTACATTGTTCCCTTCAAACTAGCTGTGTGCCTTGCTCTGGGAGCAAGGACCCCAGCAAGGGATCAGAGGTCTCTCACCAAGATCTGTTGGCCATTTGGAGGAGGAAATGTTGGCTGCTGCCAGTATGACGCCCATCCGAGGACCAGATTGTCATTGGATCCGAGGTGAGATTCCACAGGCCTAGCCACTATGGACTTAATCAGGCTGGATCCCCTTCTACCACCCTCCACTTGATTAAATTTATGAATGAAAGGTATAGAAAATATATTTTATCAGAATGCTTCCCCACAAAGACACTATTATAATGATTTTATGAAAAAATTGCTTTTGTCTGAATTCTATATTTGTTATATGCTGATGAAAATCATAGTGATGATTCAAACCTGAGGTCAATCTTTACAAAAAAATGTATCACAGTAAACAGTAATGTTTTGAGATTCATTTAGTTGACTGTGGTGAAGGATTTACAAGCTCATTTTCAAGCAAAATGCTAACATATATTCGGTATTAAACATTTGCAAAAACCTGTCGACATTCAAAGGTATTACTAAAAGATGAAAATGAACCTTCTGCAATACCTTTGAATAAGTTTCTTTGCTGAAATCCAGAAAATCAATGTGATTGATGTTTTACAACTCATGTCTCTGTTTTGCAAGAGCTTGCTGATAATGTACCGAAGACCCAAAAGAGTGAACATGTGCTTTGCCGCCATAACCCCGCCTATGCTGTTCATTGACTGGTGAGGTCAGCGTACCTAGTAAGACATTGACTTGCCTCACTTTTTGTCCACCCTGTTTGGAAGAAACCTTATTCCTGCTACATTCAAACTCATGTCAAGTTCTCCCATGGAAGGCACTATCAAGATGGAGGGCAGAACCGACAAAGATCAGTGTAAGCAAAGCAAAAAAAAAATCACAGATGTAAATCAACAGCTTGATATCCTGAAACAGGAATGTGGCACTCTGCAGTACAATACACATGCCTAAAATGGACTACTATCGTATTTTAATCAGGAACAAAAACAGAAGTTGCCGGAAAAGCTCAGCAGGTCTGGCAGCAACAGTGAAGAAAAGTCAGAGTTAATGTTTCAGGTCCGGTGACGCTTCCTCAGAAACGTTAACTCTGATTTTTCTTCACAGGTGTTGCCAGACGTGTTGAGCTTTTCCAGCAACTTCTGTTTTTGTACTTGATTTACAGCATCTGCAGTTCTTTTGGTTTTCATCATATTATAATGTTTTTCCTCCAAATCCCATTATTTCCAAAGGATTACTGCCAATTTTTTGGATAGATGCATGCAAATAATAATGATATGATGAACTGGACTTGGTATACTCCATTTTTTTCATTTTGCAAATCATCCTCTGTTCATTCTCAGTCACTCAACAACAGCTCATGACACTTCATCAAAACCATTCACAAACTTTATGTGCAAACTTTACTGCTAACATTCCTTGAGGGAACTGATAACAAGTGATCGAAAGACCTTGCCAGGGTCTTCGCCAATGTCATATAAGTTTCACGCATGTTTAGTAGATTTTAGCATTTAAGAACATATGCCTGACTGTTCTTGCTTTAACTGATTTGACAGGATCATTAATCTTTTTTCATCTGAGTCAGCATTTGGTATTATAGAGTGTGCATCTATTTCCTTTTTCATCTTCCTACTGTTCTTCAACTCTCTGTTCTTTACTTGTGCATCTGCTTTAGCAGATTGAGGAGAGGAGGGGGAATGTGTGTTCTACAGTATTCCAGCAGACTTTCCAACAACGTGTGATGCTTCTATAGTTTGGTCACAGCAGGAGAGTATTCCCATAATATTGTTTCTTTAAGGAGAGAGGGAGGTGTACTGAGCAATTGTTTTTGGCACTGAGAAACCATCTGAACAAGTGAGGTACCAAGGAGTTCTCATGAAACTGTAGTCAGTGAGGATCAGAGGACGAATACTTCAGTGACTAGTATCATATTTATCACATAGGAAAATGGTTGAGATTGTTAGAGTCCTCAGTCCTAGGATCCTGCTGCAGGAAATACTCAAGGTGGTTACTTCCTTAATGATGACCCTGTACCATAAGGTCAAAATGTTTACTACAGCTCAATTCACCATTCCAAAAATTCATGCATGCTGCAAATCTGGGCCTTGAAGAGTCACATAACACTTTTATCACATGTGCCACCAATGACCAACAAGAGTCAATGGCATAACAATTGTCTAGCACAACAGAATTAATAACATAAATGGTGTAGCTATGAAATAATGTGGATTGCCTTGTTTAACCTTTTAATGTGCCAGGAGCTGGATAACTTGTGGCTCACTTCCTGACTTTGCAAAGTCCAGCTGCTCACTAATCCTACCACTCCATTGGTCACAATATATATGTACATGCTTTACCTGTTTACCAATGTGGCCAATTAAATACTTTACCTATATTATATTTAGAATGAAAATATCCATCAATTAGGTTTCTTTAATAAACATCAAGATTATTGATTTATTGCAACACGTAGAAAATAGGAACAACAGACTATTAGGCCCTCTGAGTCTGCTCCATCATTCAATGCAATCATGGTTGACCATCCAGTACCCTGTTGGCATCTTCTCCCCATTTCAATTCCCAAAATAAAATGAAAAAGTACTCTGCACTTCCCTGGATGGTTACAGCTCCAACAGTACCCAAAATAAACAAAACCATCCAGGAGAAAACAATTCTTACTTTCTGCAGCACATCTACTACCAACAGCAGACCATGCCTGGAGAGTATACTTTCTACAAGATACACTCCAACAATTTGCCAAGGTCTAATTTACAGCACCACCTGAATTCCAACAACCTAGGAGAACAAGGAACAGATGGTTCAAATGAACACTGTCGTTATGTCCCTATCCAAGTCACTTACCACACTGATGCAGACACAATTTTATTGATGTATATCACTGTACCTTCCACATTACAGTTAAAAGTCTGTAACTCCCACCCACCAGAAATTTCATGAAAGAGTCTGCAGGCAAATTAAAGAAGAAACAACATCATAATCTTCTCAAGAGAAATTACAGACAGGGACAATAAATCCCACTTTGCTGGGAGTGCTCAGAGTCAGAGAATTAATGAAAAGGGGAAGAAACACTCTTGCAGACCTGTAAATGCTGCAACACGTTGCCATTTCCTCTTTGTAAAGTAAAATTCACAGACCAAAGCATTCCCAGTGCCTGGAGCTCACATGGCATATTCAAAATGAACTAAGCCTAAAAGACAGTGGGATCAACAATCAGCATAATGGATGGATGGAAGCCATGCTCAATTGCACAGCTGTTGGGGAACATACCTCAATGGATAATCCAGGCCCCAAACTGAAACTGCAATAGACAAGGGCAGTACAGTAGTGGGTTTTTACATTTCACTGGGAACATGGTTTTCTTCTGTACCTTTAAAACTACCACCATTAAATCTGAAACAGTGTCTTCTACGCAATAATGTTACTTTTTCATACACTCAATAAAACAAAGCCATAAAATTGATGCAATTATGCAGCCCTTGCCTTCCACGGCAACAGCAACAAATGGATTTCACATCATGTTTCAGCTTCTAAGGTATTTATGTTTCCCTTACATACCTATCAGAACCTCCTACAGAGCTGGTTTAAAATGCCAGCAGCTGAGAATGATTTAAACAACCCATGTATGACTAATGACACATTGTACCCTAAGCATGTGGTCTCACTATGACTACCTACAAGAAATCTTGCATTAAGCATGTAGTAGATATGCTTCAATTTTCTTGTCAAACTTTGAAACATTATTGCTGTCCAGAATTTAAAACATTTTATCCTTCCATCTGAAGTGTCAAGTTAACTTTTCCCATGTGTTTACTTCTACAGATTGTTACAACCAGTGGTGGTGGAGCACACTGTTGCTCACTAGTCCAGCCACTCCATTAGTTACTATATTTGCATGCTTTACCCACTTACCAATGTGGCCAATTAAACACTTTATTGATATTAGATTTACAACAAAATAATCTATCAATCAGGTTGTTTTAATTAATATCAAGATTATTGATTTATTGCAAAACATAGAAAATAACAGCAGTTGATCATTAGGCCCTTTGAGTCTGCTCCACCATTCAATGCAATCATGGTTGATCATTAGGTACCCTGTTTGCACTTTCTCCCACAACCAACTACCAAAATATGAAGTAGGCACTGAAACGTTGCAGTTAATTGGTCTCTTAAGAAGCTCAAAACCTATTAATTACTGATTCGAAATGGCTGGCAAACACCCAATTTCAGCACTAGTTCAGCTTCCATATGATCAGAGACTGGCAGGATGATGGCAGATTACTGAGCCAATGGCATCACACCATCTTTCATAAAAGTGAAGGGCTCAGTCACCTCTCTCCTTACCCCCACCCCTTCCCCACCCCAATTTGCAGCCATATGATTGA